CGTCCTCAGTAAATCTCATTCTAATACTTTTTCATTATGAAAAGAAAGAGCAAAAAATGAAAAATGAAAAATTATGGTGGCAATGGAGTAGTGTCAGTGTAATCTTATCGTTTCAACTTGCTCTAAGTCCAGTCAATTTGATCCCTACTGAAGAGTATAATTTCACCCAGCTACAAGTGTTATTTCATTTTCCTAATAACATGAAGTAAAGCTTATGCTAATAGACTTCGCCTCATGATTCTCAAGTTCTATAACCACAACCCTAACCTTGAAGTTGAAGCCAGACATGATAATGAAGATCAATCTGTTCTCTACACGGATTTCTAGGATTTATTCGATCAAATTAGACGAATATCAGTTAATCGTTGTTGGATTTACACATATCTTCAGCGTGAACATCAATCGTCCTATTTGTCTAAATTCTGACAATTCAATATATCGAAACAAAGATAGCAAACGGAAATTAAGAAACAAAGGAAAAACAATAAAGTATTCTGATACCTCTAGTGAGGCCAAAAATCAGGCCCACCGGGCTTCTTCACCAGAATTTGATTGTACTCCGGCCTCGCCGTGAGTTGCTTGAAGGTGAAGAAAGCGACGACGACAACACAGAAGAAGACGATCTCGAACTCTGCCATTTGCAAGAAGGCCACCAGGCGGCCCAGCTTGGAATCGTTCCTTCGCCTGTTGAGTCGACTTGTTCCGGCTCGCCTCCCTATCATCTTCAGATCCATCCGAGTGCCAAACGCAGATCTATCTCCTTTTCTCTCTTCAGGATTTCTTTCAATACGAACACCCCTGTTCTCTCAGGATCTGTTTCGTCTTGTTTAATTTTTACTTGAATCTTTTATCTGAGGAAGTTCTCAAACAAGTCGGCCGGTCTTAATTTTCTGTTTTTTTTTTTTAAATAAGAAAAAAGGTAACGGCCCACTGTGATTTGGACCCAGCCGAGTATTCTAAAAAATGTTTTCAACCAATCACGCCTAATTTAGCCCATTAAGTCCGTAGAATGAAAATTATTGATATTTGATGTATGGAAAATACATAGATACATATACATATACATATACATATACATATACATATATATGTATGTATCTATTACATTTGGTCACTTGTTTTCAGGAGAGCTCACAAAATTATTTTCTTAAATTAGCAAGAAAAACCTTATTTTCATTGATGTTTTGTTAGGAAATGGTGG